AAATCAAAATTCTGCCGATGGAATGATTGCTATCGAGATCAGAAGCAGACTGGCTTCTTCAGTGCATTGCGATAATGGCTTAGATTATCTGATCTCCTGAAAATTTCCATGACAGCCACATTATCGCTAAGCTTTAGTTAGTTAATAATGAAGTGACTTTTTTCACCGGTGACGTCTTTTTAATTTCACTAAAGCTGTTTTCATTATTTTGCTGCTTTTCAAGTATAATTACCTCTGAACTGCTTTTATTTGAACCAGGATGGTCGTTTCTCGCATATCAAGCGTTGATTCGTGTTCTGCTGTGTTTGATTTTTGCATAAAGCGTTCCGTTTAAGAGGTTAATTTTCTTACATTGCTTAGATGCGTTTCTTGCAGGGATGAACCGGCGACAGGTTTTGCCACACCCAGGTGGTCAGAAATATCGGAGTTTTACTGGAAGTCTTGAACAGTTGCAGAAAGTGGCCTGTAACCGTCAGAATCTCTATCAGGCGCTAAGCTTTCAAAAAGAGCGACGGCTGTAATTCTGGTTTATATCTTATTTACTATAGCATTTGTATCAGTGATGCCAAGACGACGGACTGCGACAAATAAATACTGACTTAAAATAATTTTTTACCACTCCCACACTGTAAGATGAGGTTATTGATTACACTTTAATGATGACATTGAGAGTGTCAGTTAAAAATTCCAGTCATCTCAACAGTACATGTAAGAGATAAACCGACCTCTGGTGATTAATAAGTAGCTGTGCAATAGTGCGAAGCTATCTGTCTATATGCCTGTGCTCTACTGCGATCAAGCATGCTGAGTACCAACCAAAGGGGTATGATCCTGGACGTACGGGACAAAAGTGAGGTTTTTCTTAAAGTAAAAAGTGTAAAACGACCGAGATCCCTACAGGCTGAAGATCAAAGTAAACTTACGGGTAATTAAGTGACAGACCAGAAAAACCTGCGGCAACGACAGCCAACTGTCTCCAGACAAAGGATTATACAGTACTGTCCAAATCACTGGTTAGAAGTCCATCGCCCCAATAAAGTACTTGCACTACGTTGTTTGATCAGATGTTTCCTCTGATTTCGAGTCCGATCTAGATTATTGCTGTAAAAAGTATCACTCGCTATACACGTTTCCATGCCCAAAGCTATATAATATTCACAACATCGTATAAAATCTCAGTAAAATGTATAAATAAATATAAACAAGATTACACACTATAAACACCATGGAAGTTCTCAAGCAGCTAAGAGTCGCCTTTCTCAGGTTCTTAAATGATTACACCCCCTAAAGATGGGTGTACCATTACCCTCGGATCATTTGGAAGTATATCTATCCCTTGTTACATGTATGCAGATGAACTACGAGCACTTCGTTCCCATGCTTGACCACTGACCAGGTAGACATGCCAATGCTATGCTGAGAAGAATCAAGAATATTCACAATAAAGACATTCGCAGCATCTGAGCAGATATACAGCGAAATTCTCCGTCATTGACGTTGTTTATTTCTTCATTTTATCATTTCGATATGTTTTAGTAGAGACTTGTGCAAAATCGTTTTCGACCCAGCAGCAAACGCGTTAATCCTTACTAAGTTTGCGGTGAGTACACTTTTTAAATCGTTAATTCTATTTAAACTGTACTAATGGTGCAGCTTGGAAACGATGAGAGCTGACTGTGTCTGTAAAACGTGCTTTGCAATTTTTTAGTCAGGAGGACAAAGGGTTCAGGGTTTAGACAGTGCTGCGAAAAAACATGGCAACGGAAGACTCATGATGCGAGTTATGACAGACTTTTACGACATTGCTGTCAGATAAAATTTTTAAAAACAGTCCATGAGATACAATTTACGCATTAGTAGGATCAAGCCGATGTTCATAATAAAACAAGAGTCGGTCCATGAAGATATAATAAATTTGTTGAACAAATCTTACAAATCTGAGACAGTTTCGTACGGCCTGGATATTATGTATCTCGGAATCATTTCTGATCATGCTTTATTAGCCTTAGATAAACAGTGATAACAAAAATAACTCCAGGTGGCTTCTCGATGCTCAGGAATTTCTTCCATTGAAATATTTCACAGACATTCAATTGCTGCTCAGTGATTGTTTGTCCTTTGAATAACCATTCAAGTTGCCGTTGGACAGCTCCGCTGTTGTTGGTTTTAAGCCCGGATGTGAATAAAGAAGGGTTAGAGACTGTGGCAAGGTGCCCTGTAAAACTTAACCACCTGTCACTCATGATATAACCTTTATCGAATGTTATACTGAATCGTGGCAGCCCGGGTTCAAAGATCGGGTAGGCTGCTGGAGAACAGAGGTACACTGCTAAAAGTCGGTGATCTGAACCTGTTTCACACCTTCTGACAGACAGTGGGTATAGCGCCACTTCGACGGCTGCCGAAGAAGAAGACGAAGTTACCAATCAGCAACTATTCGCTACCTGTTTTGAACGGAGCAGGCAGATATTGCGATGCCATCGTAGCACATGGGTTAAGGCTCCAAGGGAATGATATCGACGATGGGACGTTACAGTTGGAAATAGGAACATATCCTCACTTGGAGGAAAAGAGCAAGAGTTAGTCGATGAGGCTGCAAGGCACCAACTCGACATAGTTGGACTTTCATCAACAAAACGCCAAGGCTCTGGAAATCCTAACCTCTGCAAGTGGAAGCTGTTCTACTTAAGTGTCGAGATCAGGACGCGCGCTCAGGCCAGTGTTGGTGTTCTGGTATAACCAACTTAGTTCATACAGTCATTCAATGTAAGCCTGACACCATAATATTGGCAATCCTCCAGTTGTAATTACAATTTACAAAGAGCTGAAGCTTGGACCTTACTACAGACCTATATGCGCAATATGCAGGGAAAATAAGACTCCTTTCTGGAAGATGCAGAAGTTGCCCTGTAGGTAGTGCCCTTAATGGAATTCATTGTTCTGATGAGCGATTTCAATTGGTGTGCTGGAACAGACACTGAGAAGTGTAAAGAACGGCTATGGCGAAGTTGTTGCGGTTCCTGTGCAAACAACGGACTGTCTATTATAAACAACTTCTTTGAGCATCGAAACGTCGATCAGTACATATGATACCGAGAAGCTTCTGCACACAAGTCGATGATCGTTCTGACAATCATATCTTCTGGCTTACAACGCTCGGTAGTGTATGTTCGCGTTCAGAGAGGCGCAGAGTTGGGTTGTCATCTTGCTGTTGGCATCCTGATCTGTTCATGCGATAGCCTTGCGGCAGAAGCAACCAGAGAATTAAACGGGAAATATTTTATTCTGTAGATATAAGGGCAAAACTTGCAAATAACATGTCACCCTGGTTTTAACATATCCCAGTGATGATGGCGTTTTGGAAACCGAATGGAAGTAGTCTAAAAGCGGCTTACACAGAGTTATCGGCCAGGGAACACTGCTGTATAAAACAAGTTGGCGTGCGGCTTGGGGGTCAGAGACGAACTTCCTAGTGAACACGAGAGGTTCAACTGGCTGTCAGTGAGAAAGTTGCATTCGAGATATAGCTGGTTAGTAAAAATCCTTCAACTCCAATGCAGTACGAAGAAGCGTGCGACGCTGTAGCCATTGGCCGAAGCGAAGGCTGATTCCGGGCAAAAAATTTTGGAAAAGTTTGCAGTTGAATTTCTATACTTGGCAAACGTATTCTGGGCAGATCGTGTGCCGCCTCCGAGATGTAATGAAGGACAATCTAAGTCTTGAAGGAGAAGTCTGGAACCCTCATACCAAAGATGAAGACATTCTTCGGCAGTGGCAAGAGTACTGTGAGGTTCCTTAACTTAAGCAACCGCAGGAAGACTCGCTTGAAGAGTACCAGATAACGAATATTAGTCTTTTAGTAGATGAAATTATATAAGCTGTAGAAAGCTTGAAGAGTGGCAGTGATTCTGGAATCGATGAAATCCGCCCTGAAATGCTTAAAGCTTCGGCGAACAAGGCATGTTGTGCCTAAAAGGTGTCTGTAAAACTGCAGTGGTTATGGAGAAGACACCAGTAGAGGAACGGGACTTGTAGTACCTGTATTGAAGAAGGGAAACCATAGTGAGTGTTCCAATTATCAGACATTACCTTACTGAGCCTCTCGAAAAAGTTCTGCACAAAGGTGTTAGAAAAAAGATGCACTTAATAACTGACTCTGATACAAATCAGGCACTCTGGCTTTGGGTAAGGCCGAAGCCTTTGTATCCTGAAACAAGTAATTTTAGGATAAGTATAGGCCATAGTCTCACTCTGCATTTTAGGCTGTATTGTCTGCATTCAAAGGGAACTGTTCAGTAGCTGTCCATTTCAGAATTCATAATACAAAAGTGAATGGTTACCACATGCTTAAGTAAATTATATCTCATCATCTCTCTTAAACAGCGACTATACCGTGAGGGGACACACTGCTAATGAGATAACACAGGCAGACTTTCTTATTTTATAAAAATATTCGTTTTCTTGTATTATTGATTTTTACAAAAAAACGTCGCAGATTAAATTTAGAGAAAAAAATTCCGCCAATTAAATGCGCAGTATTTAAATTTGGCTAACTCAGATAGCACGTATTACTCTCCTTATAGCACAATAAGAGGGGTTTGTTATGATTTGCCAATTTCTTATTAATCGAGGTTACATTAAGGTGGCTAGTCTTTGGGGTGTTTAATTTTAACATTGTTTATTTTCTCTTTATCACCTTCAGGGTAAACATTGGTGGTTTATGGGTCAGAAATGGAAGAACGGCTTTCGTATTCTTTATCCGGAGGAAGCGTTGTATTTGGTAGATCTAGTAAGAATTTTACTTTTTCATTTCATGTTCCTCATTTTACAGGTGTACATTCTGTAGGCGGTGGCCGAAGTCTACTACAACAACGTTGCATTGAGTATGGAACAGATGTTTACACTAGCAGTGCAGCAAGGTATGGCGTGGGAGCATTATTTCGTATACAGCTACTTGTCTCGAGCCGGTTACATAGTCGTCCGTCACCGTTGCTTCAGTGGCAGCGACGTATTCTCCCAGGAATCTGTTCCACAACTTATAACTTTTACGCCAGCACCTTCTACAAGTAATTCCTCTTCTGTCATGGAAGTGGCTCCTTCTGACCAGCATGTGCCTTCTTGCACTAGTTCCCAGACGATTTATCCTTGTCCTGAATCTAAGTCGTCTGCAGGTGACACATCTTCTGACAAGCTAGAGGCAAATGCGGCAGAGACATCGCCCATCCGTGAATTCGACTGGCCTACTGACACTACGTCATTGATGCATTCTCCAAAGCCTCAGTATTTAAACTGGGATTTCAAGAAGATACCGATTCCGGATAATCACGGATATCCCATAATATCCTTGAAGCCGATGGAAAATACCTTTATTCCGTTTCCTGTGTCGTACACAAAGAAGATGTTAACTTATGACTCCCGCACAGCTGATAGGGCCAATAACTATTGGACAAAGTCAACGAAGAAAAACGAATTTTACCGACCGGAAAATTTTGTCAGAACACGCGTACGCAATGCCAAAAATTGGGGTGAATATAAGCAAGCGATTGCAGAAAAAGCTCAAAGCGTTACCAGTTCTTCAGGAGATCCACAGCAGTTGAAAAATGCAGCTTTTGAATGGAAGGCAACGGGCACAAAACTCCAAAGGTAATAAGAGTTATTAAAAACTACTATTTAATTGTGTATATGGAATCTGCGGAATAATGCGGTTTAATGCCATTCCTACTCTCGGAAACTACGTCATAACATCCTGGTTTTTTCTTCTGAATGTAATCTAATAGTGCCTTAATTTTCCGTACTTAACTTTTTCGCTGTTGGTGATGTTCACTTTTAGTCGGTCACGCTGAGACCGATAAAACGTGACATCACGTAGATCACATTCTCGACTATTCATGCAGATTGAAGTTTCAGCCATGATCACTGAAAATGCCAGTAGTAAGCATACTTCGTGTTCGCTGCTTTGGAGCAGTTCATTACAACCGCTTCGCAAGCAGAAGGGAAACAAGATCAGGTTTACAATGCTGACGCTGACATCGTGTATATTTTTCAGAGGTGACGCATTTCCACTATCCTTCAGTCAGAGGGCAGACTCCTGTTTTGATTCTGTAGCATACCGGAGTTTATGATTAGCCTTTACACGAAAGAATCACATATCTTCATGTTTCCAGTAAGTTTCGAGGAAGAAAATGTTCAAAAATACTTGTAGTGTTGCATCTTAAGATCAACTTTCATGCTAATTATCACAAGTTATGGGTTAATTACTGCCTGTGACGCTGTAATGTGATTGTCCATCGAAATGTTTAGTAAATTAAATGGCTTTATCATTTTATCTGTTTCCGTTAACCATAATCATACAAATTTGCTACTGGCTCTTGGTCCCAGCTTCTTACTTAGACACAAATCTTTAACAGCACCTATAATATGCTGCAGATTAATACCATTATATTATTGCAATTATTAGTTTGCTTTTGACTTTGAATCTTTATTTGCCTTCGGTTTCTGATTCATGGTTCAAGCCAGTGGTTAACAAGGACGATATAGAAATCTTTATTTACCGACGCCTTTTGATGTCGCACACCAGCATCATAATTACAGCTATCATAATATATTATCTTCATGATAACCCCGGTGCACCGCGTCAAGAATTACCGGTAAATAAAGAATTTTACATTGACAGTTTAACTGTTTTCTTGAACGATGGATCGGGAATCGAAAACTTATAACAGTTATTCAAAAAACAACGATTCGATACCTTCTTCTTTGTATCTGTAAGCATTGTTTCTCGTGTAAGTAATTGAACAGTACTGTCAATGATGACCAAAGTACAGTACTATCAGTTGGAAATCTTTTGATCCCCCCGAGGTTTAGAGGTCAAACTATGCGTAGAATTTATCAGGATACAGAGGTTGTGCTATTGCAGCGCTGGTCATCATCATGGTCACAGTAGGTCGAAACGTTAGAAACGTCTGTATCCATTATTTCAACTTTTAATCGCTTTACAAACCGAAGGTAATACTAATGAAAAATATTCTACATTGCAGTGGAGACGGACTTTGTAGATAACACGTTACGCTGGATTTCCTTAACCCCAGTGGTCCTTCAACACGAAAATACGTATTAACCCTGCTGTGATAAGCTGTGATTTTGAAACTGCTGTGATTTTTGCCCAGGAAATCATACCATCCTGGGCACTTTTCTGATTCTGCGATTTGAAGCACGAAACATGTCGATTTTATATTGAG